TAATAAGGATTTAATGAAATAAACTGAATATATAATATTTTATATATAATAAATGTGAACTTTTTATGAGAAAACTATGAAAATTTCAAGCAATCAAATTGTTAATCAATTTTTATATTCAGGATTTATCAACTTAGTTTTAGAATCAAATTTATAATTCTAGTAATTAGAATATTATACAATTTTTGATACAAAAACCTTATACAAGTTTTCAAAAAAAGGAAAAAACCAATTTGATATTGTCTTGTTACTTATTCATAATTGGCAGACTTAGAATTATTATAATAGTAAGAGAAATTTTAACAGGAATTCTAATGAACCTAATATCTTTAATTTATTTTAAAGTTCTTTATAATGATAAGAATTTTTAATTGCACATTTATTATAATGTTATAAAGGTTTTCTTTATTAAATATAGTTAACAACCTTAACTCCAATAAAATTCAAAAATTTTTATAAATTTGAAGAATTTTTGACAGTAAAATTTGGAAATTTATTTAATATTAAATCCTTACAATGAATTATTCAAAGAATTATTTTCATTCTTTAAATTTCTCTCATTATTAAGTAAATTAAAATAATTCCTTTAATTATTGAGAAACACTACCATAAGATAGGAATAATGTATTCTATACATATGGAGCAATTAATTAAATTATAGCTGCAAACATGATATAAAACCTGTAATTACAGAAACTACAGTAATAATAGCTTATTTATTTTCTAAATTATATATAATAATGTATATATTACTTTTAAGTCAGGTTAATTGCTTAATTCTTCTGCTTATGCTGTCAATATATGTGGTAACATACTTCTATAAGTAATCTTGTAAGAAAAACTAAAGATGGAACTACAATTACAGCTCTTTATTAAAACAATATCAACCCAATAAATATTAAATGTAGCAATGCTAGAATTCATCCAGTAATAAAAGAAAAAAATTTTGAATCTAAACAAGTAGTTAGCCAGAATGTAAGAATATAATATACAATATTGACACATCCTAATGATAATGCATAAAATGCAAATTTCGTACAAACCAGGCAGTAGAATAATTTAATTATTCTTATATTTAATATATTTTTAAATAAGGTTTGAAAAGTTCATTTTTGTTTTCTTCTAATTTCGTATTTATAATGAATTTGATTTGTTTTTCAAATATTTTATTGTAAACCTTACAGTATGCAAATTAATTGCCTTATTTTTTCATATTCTCAATTATTAGTTTAATATATATAGAGAGAGCATTTAATAAAAATAAGGCATTTGAAAGACTGATAGTAAATAGAGAGAAAGCTACCTAATATACTAGAGCTTAATAAGGTAAATGATCTCCCAATTAAAGAACCTGAATAAATATATCTCCAACTAAATGACCTGCAGCAAAGAAACCCAAAAGTACTATTTTTTATCTGTTAAAACAAATTTTTAAGTCTAGTTAAATTTAAATTTATCACAACTAATAATTCAAGACATGCTTATTGATTAAGAAATACTATTTATGATAGTAGGTACAAACAATTCTTTTTTTCTTTTAACTGAGTCATTGAACCAACTTGTTGTAGAAGCTACTGCCTGAATAAATAGTCTTAGATTCATTATGTCCAAAACTAAAAATAAGTTATTATTATACAAAAATATGTCTAATCCATAAAAAAATAACACAAGCAAAATTAATATAGCCTAGATAATTAGATGAAAAATATCCTTATTTCGCCATATTACCTGCAACATAACTCCAAGTAGATCGATTGTAATGAATAAATACGCATTATAAAAATATTAGATAAATGTTATAGTTCTTTAAGTTGTGACTCTGGGTGTTGATGAGGCAAACATTATCCTAAATATATTGTTAATATTTATTATATACTTGACTAATCTATCATTTTATCTATGATTTCTTAAGCTTTTCCCATAGTATTTAACAATTGTGCTGTTAACTCTGTAAAATAATCAAATAAAAATTATTCAATAAGAATCTATTTGTTTTAAATAATGAGCAAAAATGACGTAATATTGATACTTTCATTTGAGAAATAAATAAATTCATGAAAATTAGAAGAATACTAATAGGAGTAGATTTTTTACAATATAAAATTTTGTTACATGATTTCATTTTTACTTTTCTCATTCAGAAAAAAATTTCTTTAGTTTTTTTTTTAATTTTCAATTTTAATATTGTTAATCTAACACTTTAATTTGCATTGAACATTAATTCCATTCAAAATTTCGGATCTTTTTTTTAATATTAATAACATGAATTCAAGAGTCTAAGATGATATTAAATTTTTTAATTAATTAATTATACACGATATAATTAAAAATGATTGAAAAAGAAGAAGATCTTTTTTGTTCTTTGAAACATAAACTTCCAGTCTTAATGATTGCTTGCGATAAAGAACTTAAAAAGAATTAAAGACTTTTGTGCCCTCTCTGTATGGAAAATTTAGAATAAAAATCCCAACTAATGAGCTTTAAGAAGGCATTAGAAAATATAGAAGAAAACCAGAGGTAAAAGAAAGAATCTATTGAGAATTTTTTAATTATTAACATCAAATAACTTGAAGAACTCTAAAAAGCTCTTCATTAATTAAAATCTAATATCGCTCAATAATTGGATTATTTGATTGAAAATACATCTGAATGGATTAAACAAATTTATTTATGGGGACAATCAAATATTTCATATAGTTTTTTTGATGAATTAGAAATACTAATTAATTAAACTAAACTTGATTAATCCAATTACAAATCTATATTTGATCAAATTAATTAAATTAATTAATCGTAGAATTAAAAGATCTCTAAAAAATTGAATTAGTTTAAATCCTTTTCAGTAGTTACAAAAAGTTCTCTTAAATTCCAAACTTAGATTACTCCAAACTTATTAAAGCTTGATTATAAAGTTAATAAAAATTAATGTATGGCGCCTTTAGTTAATTCTAAAAAATCCAATTACGTTATTTAGGAAGATTTATTTCTGCCAACAGTAAGAGTATAAATTTATGTATCATTCAATTGATTTCTTTTTAAATATTCAATTATCAAAATCATCTATATATTTATTTTATGGAACATTTATGAGTCAGACATAATGAGTTTTTCAATAATATTAAAATATAAATAAAATAAGTAATAATATATGAATACTATTTATTAAATTACATTAATCACTTCATTTATTCATTGTTTCAATTTCTTTTCACAAAAATCTAATCTAATAAGTTAAATATACTCTTTTAGTTTTATGTATTTTGATCATATGGGTCTATCTTTAATGATTTTTCATAATATATCAAAGCTTCTTAATATTTTTATTAATCCATTAAACAATCTCCTACAAATAACAAATATCAGGTACCTTTAGCTTACAGAGAAAGGGTATGTTGCTAATCAATTGATAGTGCTTAATCTAGAAATTATAAAGATTCATTATATTTTTTCAATAGTCTTAAACATTCACCTATTAATTACTTTATGATTCATTATACCTATCATAAATAAGGAATTAACATGCTTAGGATTAATAGCTAATGCTTTATCCAACCATTTGATTGCTTCTTCATTTTTATTTAAAAATCTTAAACATTAACCTATTAATTAAATTATGATTCAATACACCTTTAATACATAAGGAATCAACATGCTTAGAATCAATAGCTAGTGCTTTGTCAAACAATCTGATTGCTTCTTCATTTTTATTTAATAATCTTAAGCAATCACCTATTAATTAAATTATGATTCATTATACCTTTCATAAATAAGATATCAGCATTATTAGGTTCAAAAGCTAATGATTGGTCTAACCATGAGATTCCTTCTTCATATTTATTTAGTAATTTTAAACAATCACCTATTCATTATTTATTATTTTTACCTTTACACCATAAAGAATTATAGTTATTGGGATTGTATTATATTGATTTATCTAATATTACAATGGCCTATTCATACTTATCTTCCAAATATAATTAATAACCTAAAAAATTATTATAATAACATTATTAATACCTTTATCATATAATTCTTCAGATATTTTAATACAATTATCATCATTTTAATAATAATTAAATGATGATAATTATAATTATTGATATAAATTATTAAATGAATGAGTTAATTTCTTAGTCTATTCTAAAATGATAGTTGTAATTGATTGTTTATATTCATTAAATTTGATTGTAGAATTCAAGAAATCATTAATTTATTAAGAATTCAGAAGTACTAATCTTTCTTAATATAATTAATATTTCTATCTGATTCCCATTTTTAATTAAGAAAATGATTGATTCATACTTTCTGCTTATTTATTAAGATTATCAATCAAATTATCACATTCTTTATTTTTATTTTCAATGAATTCTATCAAACTATTAATTTTTTCAACATCATCAAAATGATCATGATGGGTTCTTCCTTTTTTTTAACATTAAAAGCAATTTAATCTAAATTCTGTACAAAATTAATTGTAACAAACTATGTCTATCTCATCCTAATGATCATCCTTTTCACATTTTAACTTTAAATTCAATTACTAAATCATATTTTATATTTTATATTTTACATCTAATTAATATTCATTCACGTTACTATTTAATTTATCCTAATGCTAATAAAAATTTATTTTACGCCTTAACCTTTTTATTTTTCCTATTAGAAGCCCATAAATATTTTATCGAAAAAACTAATTATATCTATTTACTTTATATCTATTTTAATCTATATTTTGACTTTATTCTACTAATATTATTTCAATATTTCAATTGATTGCTCTAACTTAATTAAACTTCTACATCAATTAAACTTTAGTATTATTTTGAATGAGTAAGCTAAAATTTAATTTATTATAATCTTTTTCTAAAATACTATATAATCTCTTTTTTAAAGTAATTCTATTTCATAATGCAATTTAACTTAGAAAACTTAGTTGATTTCCAAACATTTTAGTTATAATTATGTTTCTTCATTATATAAACAACAGCTTTAAAATAAAACTTCAACAATCACAATATGATTGATTAAAATAATTGATATTTCTAATTTACAAAACTTAAATAAATACAAAAAATAGATGGTTTAGTCAAAGTTATGGATAGATTCTTTTAATATTTTAGAAAATACTAATTAATTTAAGAAGAGTATTAAAAAATTAAGTTATTTTGACAAATGGATTAAAATATTAAGGTGTGTATTATATAATTTTAATGTAAGATATATCAAGTGACTGTTTTTCATCAACTGAAAATGACTTCATCATATTATCAAATTATGGTAAAGTCATTTTTTATAATTTTACTATTTCATTGTTAACATCATAATAAGATGCCAATAATGTATTAAAACAATTAAATATAGAACTTGACTCCTCTATATAGATTGAAACAATTCAAGCAATTAATTGTTAAATAGAAAATACAAAAATAGCTATAGAACAAAATCAACTACAGTATTTGTTTAAATATTATGATACCAAAGAGTTGGGATGTAAATTCCTCAAATAAAATTACTAAAATTTAACATAATTATTTAAATATTAATTTGTTTTAAAAAATATCTTAATATCTATGGCGATTTAAATATACTAATTTAAAGTGGCTCTTTAAAGAATATTTATTTTGCAATATTATTGTGGTCATCCTATTAATAATAATTACATGTTGAAAAGCGGCAATAATATTTTTTTATAGAAAATCTTTTTTGATGATGTATTTAATAAAAATATTAATCCTAAATATTAAATTTGAAATATATTAATTAAGTGCAGTTTCGTCCTATTTATGTTCTTATATGAAATAAATAAATCTTACTCAAATTTATTATTAAACATAAGACCATTAATTGAACTGATTTTAAATTCTAATTACTAAATTACAATTTAAGTTATAAAATAAATGTTGAATTATGTTTAAATATATAATAACATAATTATAAAATTAATATATAATTTAAGAATAATAATAATCTCAAGATTTCCAGTCACTTATTGATTTAATTGAAATGGTCACATATTTACCAATTAGTTTTGTAATTTGATTATCCTCAACAGAAATTTTCTATTAAATTTGAAATTTCTATTTTATTCTAAGATTACAATCCTTAATATATTTAGAAAATAGAACACTACTCATTTTTAATCATTTTCATAAACAAGCTTTTAAAATATCCATAATCTTGCATTTTGTCATGCTATATGTAAGTAGTTATTTCTAACAGGGAAATTCTAAATTTAGGAAGCACTTTTAAAATGAAGGATTTAATCCTCACAATGACCATAATATCCACTTATCTATAATCTCATGATGATATTTGGAATCATACAATTTTACTAAGGATAAAGAATATTCTTATAATTCCTTAATTAAACAAAACATACAAGAGATTTCCTGAATCATCTTTATAGTCTCACTATTCTAATTTCAGCGTATATCTACTGGCAAATTTCATGACCCAATAAACAAATATTTCAATAATTTTGAATTTCTAATTAATTCTTATGATAATCTAAAATCAATAAATTGAATAATTTCAGGATGCAATATATTTGAATCTTTTGCTAAAGGTTCGAAGTGAAATATATTCAAATAACGAACTTTTTACAAAATTTCAGTAATCCTCAACCCGATCCTTAATATCAAAGATAAAGATAATTATATTATTTTTGGCTATTTCATCTAAGTTACCATGTAATTATGGAATAATAAGAAACAATCTTAATTTTATATTTATTAAATACTTATATCTGGGTGAATCCATTTAATATTAATGCTGGAGATACCTGAAATACCTTTTAATTTATAAATTATTTCAAATTTATTTTCGAACTTAATCTATTCCAGGAGATTTTTCAATTTTATGGCTCACTCCTCTGAATTTAACCTATTCTCAACTTTATATATCACTTGATTAGCACCCTAATTTTGATTGAACATGGTATGGAAAAGCCTGAAGATCCATCAAAAAATCTAGTTATTATGTTAAAATAATTTAGGGATATTGTACTTTTTTACTTATCAGAATAATTTGATAACCCTATATTTTTATCATTATATATTATGGAATGAATTATATCTCATGAAATGGAATCTTCGTCATTATAAAAATATATTTAGTTCTATTTAATCATTCATGTATTAGATTACTATACATTATTTTCAGCACAAAGCTTCTTTTAAAGCAGTTAAACTACTATAGAAAATTTACTTATTTAATACTTTAGATTTAAATTAGAATTTTAAATAGTTGCCTACATTTAATAATATTTTATTTATAATGTCTAATAGAAATCACAATCTAATGAATCAATAAAACATTTTATAAACTTTTTATAAGGATTTTTCTATATTATATTGTTTTTATATTAAAATTAATAACAATTATTGATTTATGAATTATATAGCAAACAGTTTATTATTTATGTTTATTTATTTAATGAAAATTAATAATAATTAAATTGCAAAAAAAATGATAGAGTTTAATTCATTGTCTTTATGAAAGCCATTTTCGAATTTTGTGTTAATATTGCTTATTTCCTCCTTAATTTTTATTGAAATGTTTAAAACATCAATAATAAAATCATAGTTCTTATTGAATTTAGTTATGATAAATATGATATTCAAACA